GTGCTCCTGTTCTCCTTGCCAGCCTCAGAGGGTGTGGGACAGAACCTGTCTTGGGGCCTTTCTGCTTCTCCTGGGCTTTCTCCCGGAGCTGCTTGCAATACCTCCCTTTGAGCACACAGCTTCCTGGCAGGGCCCCTCCTGTTTCCCCTCCAGAGGAGGCTCTGTGGCTTAGGTCTGGGGGCCACCACTGGGGATGTGGATGGCCAGGACTGGGGCTGCTGAGAGCCTGGGGTAGTGACAACCTGCCTCTGGCCACTCCCAGCAACCCTGCTGGAATGCCCCACCCCTTCTGAGGCTAGGAGCAGCTCCCTCTCCCCAAACTTCATACAACCCCCACCCCTGGCCCACTGTTTGTCACCAAATGACATTCTCCCCTTTCCTTGCCAGTCATTCGAGATTCTGATATAAAACACAAAGCGGGGGCCAGGTGCCGTGGCTCACACCTGTAATCTCAGAACTTTGGGAGGCCGAGGCAGGTGGATCACTTGACATTGGGAGTTCAAGACCAGCCTGGCCAACATGGTGAAACCCCGTCTCTACTAAAAATACAAAAATTAGCTGGGCACGGTGACACATGCCTGTAATTCCAGCACTTTGGGAGGCTGAGGCGGGTGTCAGGAGTTCGAGACCAGCTTGACCAACATGTTGAAACCCCATCTCTACTAAAAATAGGAAAATTAGCCTGGTGTGGTGGCGCATACCTGTAATCTCAGCCACTTAGGAGGCTGAGGCAGGAGAATCACTTGAACCCTGGAGGTGGAGGTTGTAGTGAGTCAAGATCATGCCATTGCACTGCAGCCTGGGTGATAGAGTGAGACTCCATCTAAAAAAAAAAAAAAACCAGCCGGGTGTGGTGTTGCACGCCTGTAGTCTCAGCTGCTGGCGAGGCTGAGGTGGGCGGATCGCTTGAACCTTGGTTAATGGAGGCTGCAGTGAGCTGAGATTGCGCCTCTGTACTCTAACCTGGGCAACAGAACAAGATCTTGTCTCAAGAAAAAAACGGGGGGGGAGGTTCCACTGGAACGTCCCACTTCCCGGGATCTCCCGCTTCTCAGGGGTGGCATGGGCTTCTCACTGTGGGTACAGCATCTCAAAGGGGCTTAGTTCTCCTGGGGCCGGATCTCTGGACTCCTCCCTCCCACTGTCTGCCTTATCTGGAGCAGTGGCAGCTCCATTCCAGAAGTTCCTGGAAGGCTCCCCTGCAGGTGGGGAGGGCCTAGCCTTTCCCAGGATCTGAGCAGGCCATACAGGGAAGGCAGGCAGAGGCCTCCTCAGGGTCAGCTACAGATGAACTGGGGCTGCCTGGGTGGCAGTGCCAAGGAGTACTCTGATGTGCTGGGTTTGCAGGGCCCTGGAGTGCTGAGGTCAGGTTTGCTCCTAGTGGAGAGACTGCTCATGGCTAGGGAAGCCTCTAAGAGGCGGAAGCAGCTGGAGAGGCTGCGTGTTCTGGGTGAGACTGTGGATGGCCAGGCCTGGTATCTGGCAGGCACAATCCAGGGGCTGGTCCCTGGGGCTGCTTGGAGGGACATTTTGAGCCATTCAGAAAAGACCCACTGAGACACTGGGTTATGGATCTTTCACCCACAGTGTGTCCAGGGCTCCCGCCTGAAGCTAATCTCTTGGCCAGCAGGGTTCTGATTTGAGGGCCTGGTCATTTGCCAGGGAGTAGCACAGGGAGGCTGGCACCATGGGAGGCCCCTCAGTCCAGTGTCTCATCATCAGTCCCCAGTCCAGGACACCCACCCCAGCAGCATTTTTTTTTTTTGTTGAGACAGTCTGGCTCTGTCGCCCAGGCTGGAGTGCAGTGGTGTGATCTCAGCTCACCATAACCTTTGCCTCTCAGGTTCAAGCAAGTCTCCTGCCTCAGTCTCCCAAGTAGCTGGGATTACAGATACCCATCACCTTACCTGATTATGTTTTGTGAGACAGGCTGGAGTGCAGTGGCATGATCTTGGCTCACTACAACCTCCGCCTCCTGGGTTCAAGTGATTTTTCTGCCTCAGCCTCACGAGTAGCTGGGATTACAGGTACATGTCACCATGACCGGCCAATTATTATTTTTTTTGGAGACAGAGTCTGGCTCTGTCACCAGGCTGTGGTGCAGTGGCATGATTTTGGTTCACTGCAACCTCCGCCTTGCAGGTTGAAGCAATTCTCCCGTCTCAGCCTTCCAAATAGCTGGGATTACAGACATGCACCACTATGCCCGGCTAATTTTTCTATTTTTAGTAGAGAAGGGGTTTCTCCATGTTGGCTAGGCTGGTCACGAACTCCTGACCTCAGGTGATCTGCCCTCCTCGGCCTCCCAAAGTGCTGGGATTACAGGCGTGAGCCACTGTGCCCAGTGGGTTCTAGGGTTCTACTGTAATGAGATTTGGGTGAAAGCATAAGGCAGAAGGGAGAATGAGGAGAGGCTGGCCCATGGGTACAAAGTTAGGAGGAAGGAGTTGGGTATTCTGTTACACAGTAGGGCAATGATAGTTGACAGTAAAATATTGTGGCCGGGCACAGTGGCTCATGCTTGTAATCTCAGCACTTTGGGAGGCCAAGGCAGGTGGATCACTTCAGATCAGGAGTTCAAAAGCAGCCTGGCCAACCTGGTCAAACCCCGTCTCTACTAAAAATACAAAAATTAGCTGGATGTGGTGGCATGCACCTGTAATCCCAGCTACTCAGGAGGCTGAGGCAGGAGAATCCCTTAAACCCAGGAGGCAGAGGTTGCAATGAGCCGAGATCACGCCACTGCACTCCTGCCTGGGCAACAGGAGACTGTCACAAAATAAACAACAAAAAAAACCAAAAACCAACAAAAAACAGCTACCAGGGTAGAGGCTGAGCTGGCAGGCCCTACCTTGACTTGGAGTCCTGACTTTCCCCAGATGAAGTGCCCTCGGTTCAGAAAGCTGCCAGGAGGCCACCACAAGACCCAGCGCTCAGGTGACATGGGCAGAGGTGGGGATGGGGGGCAAGCTCCAAGAACCCCAAGAGGAGCACACCTTGCTCACAAGCACCCCAATTCCTTGGTGGGGATTATCAGAAAGGAGAAGGATCCCCAGCCACAGCAGTTGCCACCCATGGACCCAAAGTTGCTGAAGCAGATGAGGAAGGCGGAGAAGGCGGAGAGGGAGTTCCGCAAGAAGTTCAAGGTGAGCCTCAGAGCTAAGCAGGAGTCCCGGCAGGGCTGGGACCAGGGCCCCACAGATCCCACACTCAGAAAACAGAGGCCTAAGGGCAGCAGCACCAGCTGAGGCTCTAACATCTTGCACCCCAGTTTGAAGGGGAGATTGTGGTTCACACGAAGATGATGATCGACCCGAATGCCAAGACACGTCGAGGGGGTGGCAAGCACCTTGGGATCCGGCGCGGGGAGATCCTGGAGGTGATCGAGTTCACGAGCAAGGACGAGATGCTGTGCCGGGACCCCAAGGGCAAGTGTGAGTGTACCTGGCCCCGCATCCCCAGGAGGCCGCCATGCCACCCTGGGCCTGAGAACCCACCCTGCCTGCTCTCTCCACAGATGGCTACGTTCCCAGAACAGCGCTCCTGCCCCTGTGAGTACTGGCCCTGACTGGGTGGGGAGAGGGGAGGGGAGGGTGCAGGGTGCCCCTTGCTGACTTAACTGTGCTCTGCCAGGGAGACGGAGGTATATGATGATGTCGACTTCTTGGGTATGTAGACACTCTGGGTGGGCTGGAGGGACCCTGGTGATTCCTCTGGGGGCTGTGCACTATTGGGCTTCTGGGTAGAGGGATCAATGGAAGTCACGTTTCCTCGGCAGACCCCCTGGAAAACCTACCACTCCCACTGGGACGGTAAGGCCTGTAGGCATGGAGCCAGGACAGCTGGCCAGCTGTGTCATTCACCCAGGAGCTCTGGATCCTGGCACAGAAGAGTCACAGAACTGCCTGTGCTGTGCCTGGCCCCATAAAGCCCCGGTTTAAAGCAGTCCTTGCTTCCTGTCTTTTATTTCCCTCCCGATTGGCCACAGTGGAGTAAAGGCATAGGAACCCTCAACCAAACACAAAAGGGGGTGTGGCTGGGGTCACCCTGCCGTGGTCTCACCCCTCAGGGATAAAGGCGAGGAAGGAGCAAAGGGTGGCAAGAAGCTGGTGAGCAAGGGTGGCTCCCAGTGATTGGAACCCCTCATGCTGCCAGGGATCAGAGCCAGGGTCGGGAGGGCGTCAGGCAAGACGTGCCCTTCCACAGCAGCAGCAGCTAGGCTGCCTCGCCTGCTGCACACGTGTGCTTGGCCTGAGGGCACTTCATGAGGGTCTGAGGTGGGGCCTATGCCCAATTCTGGCAGAGCCCAGGTATCGGATTTGGCCTGAGCCTCTGGCAGGATTGAACATGCATGGAAGCTGGCACAGGGCTCACTTTCAGCAGGAAAAACACTGAAACGGAGCCTGACTCAAGCAGGGTCTGTGCTACAGGGAGTTAACCTCACAAAAGGGAGACTGGATGGCTTGGGAGGCTTTTTTGATGGAGTCTCACTCTGCCACACGGGCTGGAATGCAATGGTGCGATCTTGGCTCACTGCAACCTCTGCCTCCCGGGTACAAGCGATACTCCTGCCTCAGCCTCGAGTAGCTGGGATTACAGGTACACCTCCCCTCCACACACCTGGCTAATATTTGCATTTTTAGTAGAGATGGGGTTTCACCATGTTGGCCAGGCTGATCTCAAAACTCCTGACCACAGGTGATCCGCCCACCTCAGCCTCCCAAAGTTCTGGGATGACAGGCATGAGCCACCGTGCCCAGCCTTGTGAAGCTCTGAACAGCAAATGCCCCATTATCAGCCCAAGGATAACAGCCCACAGGAAGGCAGTTTCCAGGGAATAGTCTCCCTTTTTGAGGGTAGGCACTCACCTCTAGGCCCTCAGACAAGCAAGAGTGGGGATGAGGTTTCTGGAGATCGCTGCTCCTCAGACTGGAAGCCCAAGTGGCTCTGGCTCCCCACATTTCAGGTGGTTGCCCACATACCACACACAAGGATGCTGCTTTCAGGAACCAGTATTTATTATCAAAGTCATATTTGATGTCAACAAGATGCCACAACTACAAAAAAAATTGCGCACGTTGCAATCTCAATGCAAACAGTCAAATGGAACCCCAGTCATTAAAAAAGTAATTCAAATTACCCCAAAAAGCAACTGAATTTTTTAAACATCTTTATACATCCAGCCAACAAATTAAAATGGTTAACAAGAAAAAATACAAATTCAGAGGTCTGGTATCGATGTTTAAAAAAGGCAACTGCTTAAGCGTTTCTATCGATTCGAACATCAATCTCTCGGCCATTGAGCTTCATGCCATTCATCATCCGGCAGGCTCTCTCAGCCACCTCTGGTGACTCGAACTTAACCACACCGCACCCCTTGGACTTCCCGTTCTCCATCTTGATGTCGGCATATAGCACGTGGCCTGCACAGGGAGGGAAGGAGAGACCACATGTCAGGCAAACTCAGAGCTCAGCCTGTCTAGACTGTACTCAGTCCCTATCACCTGATGGATTCTGGTGGACAGAGTCAAAAAGGAGAGGCCCCAAGAACCAGTGACTGTGGCCCTGGGCCCACACTACCGTTCTGCTAACAGAGCCTGCCCCTGCCCCAGGAAAAGCCTTCCTGAAAGTTCAAAAAAGAAGGCACCATGTAAAGTCAGCTTTAGAGGCAGAAGGCTGGCTATATATATTTTGGAGGCTTCATTTTTGATAAGCCACTGCCTCTGGTTACAAATCCATCCACAATCCAATGGACACATCTGTACTGTCCAAGTGTAAGCCAGCACACTGCATATATTCATTTGAACACCTATTTAGCATCCAGAGATGTGTCAACACTGTGGAAACAGGCCAGGCCTACAGGGTCAGAGCACTAGAGGCTAAAGGTGCTAGGGCCACAAAGCCAGAGGCAGGAAGGAACTCAGCCTAGGAGATGGCCCAGAGCAGGGAGGATGGAGGGGTCCCCTCAGGGGCAAGTTCTGAGAGCTTGCACAAATTCACCAGAAAGATGATTTGCCAATGGGGGCTTGCATACAGCACTGCAGGGTGCTTGTAGTACTTGCTGCTCAGGTTCTGGGATGGGAGGGAGATAGAGGAGCAAGGGACCAGTCCTCAAGGGGCTTGAGAGTCTGGACTTTCTCTTGAAGGCTAAGCGTCCCTCTAGGCATTGCGAAAGTGGGGGCCTGTGATCCCACTGACCTTTTCAGAATAGCTACAATGTGGAAACTCAGGAGTGAGGAAAGAAACAGGTTGACTCAATGGCTTGCCCCAAAAACCATGGAGAAGCAGCAATGATGGTGAAATCAGAGCAGCTGCTGAAACAGGAAGTGGGAGGACAGGGTGGAAGCAACTGCTCAGCCCTGGTTCAGGCCCCTCTGGCTAAAGAGAACAGAGGTGGTGCATGAGGGGTGAGGGCTTACCCTGGAGGGCAGGGAAGGAAGACAACTTGCTTCCAGCCCAAGAGGAAGCCTTCCAGAAGGGTTGTCTAACATGCCAGGAAACCACGAGACCTTAGCCTCACCCTCACATGAGCAGCTGTGCACCCAGAGCCCACAGCGCCTCCCCATGGCATCTGCTAGGCTGGGCATTCCCTGAGAGGCCCTCAGTCAGCTGTGCTGAGGGAAAACTGACCTCATCTGGGATGTATTTGCCACCTAGAAGCCAGGTGAGCTCAGGAAGACGACTTTGCCTGACATCTGTAAAATGCGGACACTATTACCTTGTTTCAAAAGCCTCAACAAAGGAAAAGAAAAGTAATTAAGGATGAAATAACAGGTGAAAAACATGTGACACATCACAGGACACTCAGCCTAACCTGAGCATTGGCATGGGCAGAACAATGGCAAGGCCATGAGTCCTGGGCTGATGGAGAGGGCCGGGAGGGAGGCTTTGCTGCTGACTCAGCTGCATTACCAAGCATGAGGCAAGGACCTAGAAAGCCATTCCCATCACTTACCACACTCGTTGAATTTGTCCTTTAGCATCTTCCATGTGAAATCGAATGGGAGCTGAGGGGGGAGAAGAAAAGGGAGACTGATGTGTGATTAAAGTAAATCCTAAGGCATGCCTTGCAGCTGGCTCTGAGGGCCAAGCTAAGTTTCTTACTACACCAAGAAGTGCTGCCCTTCAGACTGATGGCATCAGCAGGTCCATGTGGGACAAGGCTGTGAAGGGGCACAGCCAGCTCCTCCCTGGGGCTCTGCCAGTGGGAGCACCAAGCAGGGCGGGACGCTTGGACCTGCGATGCACAACCATCACTCAAAAGAGGCTAAGGGTGGCTGAGCTGGGGGAACTAATTCTGTTACAGCCACTTCTTTCCCTGGATCATTGTGCAACAAGACTCTGGCTCATTAAGCGATCAGAAACTGGAGTCTCTGAGCTCAGAGTCTGCTCCATATTCTAGCACAGTGGAGAAGCCCAGGCAATTCCTGAACCCAGTTCTCACATTCCTTACTTGTCCTACTAGCACAAAACATTAGGGACAAGGGCAATGAGGTGTGGTCCCTTCTGTGGAGCGCCACCTCTGATTTCATCCTGCGGATCTCTGCCTCCCTCGTCCCCTGGTGCTCACCACCACCAAGAAGTTCCCCAAGAGCCACTTACATTTCTCACAAATATCTGGCAGGCCTTCCTGGCCACCCCAGGAGCATGGCCTCCAGCTCCACCAAAGGAACCTGCGAAGCTTCCTCCAAAGTTGCCACGCTCCATCTCAATGGCACGGTCAAAGCTGGCACCGCCACCGCCACCCATGGCCAGGCCCATGCGCTCGATGCCAGCGCCCAGGGCCGGGCCCATGGCAGGGCCCATGCGCTCAAGGCTGTTGGCACCCATGCGCTCCAGGCCCATGCGCTCGAGGCTGTTGGCGCCCATGCGCTCCAGGCCCATCCGCTCCAGGTTGTTGGCGCCCATGCGCTCCAGGCCGGTAGCCATGCGATCCATCACGGGGCCCATGCGCTCCAGGCCAGCCCCCATACCTGCGGGCACCATGCGCTCCATGCTCAGGCCCATGCGCTCAATGGCAGGGCCCATGCGCTCCACGCCAGAGCCCATGCGCTCAATGGTCTGGCCCACACGGTCGATGGGAGCGGCCATGCGCTCGAGGCCGAAGCCCATGCCGGCACCCATGCGCTCCACGCCAGAGCCGATGCGCTCCATGGTCTGGCCCATGCGCTCGATGCTGGAGGCCATGTGGTCGAGGCCCAGCGGGCCCATGCGCTCGATGCCAGAGCCCATGCGTTCCACGGAACCCATACGGTCCATGACCAGGCCCATGCGCTCGATCTCAGAGCCCACGCGATCCATGCCGTGGCCGAGGCCTGCGCCCATGCGCTCCATGCCGGCACTCCCGAGGCGGTCAATGCCAGGACCCATCCTCTCGATCCCAGGGACGCTGCCTCCACCTCCACCTGAAACAGGGACACAAAACACAGTGAGTGCCAAGAACTTGTGTGTGCATGTGCACAACATGCCAGACCACTTCAGCTCATGGGCACAGATCAGAGGTAAAGGCCCACCATAATTTACCATTAAGACACCCCTTGAATGTTGACAACAGCTACAGCCTGAGTGGTGGGTACAGGGAGGCCTCAGAGCATTCTCTCTGCTCTATGCCACAGCTCAGATTTCTATAACACAACTCTCCTGCATGTGCCTGTGAGGTGCTAGTGTCTGTGACAAGCTTTGTGAGCCACAGATGTCAACTGCTGAGACCTGAGGTTTCTCCATCAGCAGACATTGAGAAATGCTCCGGGGGGAGGCATGGACACCCCCCACTCAGAGGGCCACCCAGGGTCATGAAAAGGAGTGACGTGCAGGCAAGTCAGAGTCACTCCCACTTGTCTGCTCCCACCCTGTCCCCTAGGATGCTCTGCTGGGGGCCAAACCAGCTGCATTTCCTCAGCACTCCAGGGTACAGAGAAAAGATCTGCAGAGGTCAAGAAAACACACACCAAGAGAGATCCTCTGTGTACAAATGCACACAGCTGGCCACTTCAGGGGACCTTTTTGTTGGGGAAACCAAATATCTTGCTAGCTTTGGAAAGAAGATGTCGATGGCACTGCAGAGTTGGCTCTGGCAGCGGCTGGGGTCAGTCAGCAAAATGAAAGGACCCCAACTGGTGGTTCCCTGCAACTCTGGACAGGAAGGGTCTGGCTCCATCAGTAAGGCCACCCCTTTCCACATGCCAAGCTCAGGGTTCCTCCTGCAAATGCCGCCGCCTGGCTCTGAGGGTGGCTGTCAGCCACGTGCCAGCCTGTGACTGATCCAAGGAGCTCTAGTCCAAGATACCAATTCAAGAGAAAACTCAGCAGTTTCTCTAACTGGCTCTCTAACTGACCATGGCCGAGTGGCTCTGCTGCTCCTTAACTGCCCAGCAGCACACTGAGCAGCAAAAAGCCCAACTTGAAGAATGGAAGATTTTCAGAGGGGAGAGGCCTCAGAAGCTAACCAACTTCCCCACAGTAGAAGGAACCTAGTGAGAATCGGCACTTTGCCCAAAGACATCAGAAATGAGGCAACTCCCAATGCCAACTGCTGCAAAAACTGGGGAAAAATGGTGCCAGTGTGGAGCTCCAGAGCAAGCCCAACACAGAAGTCAGCAGGGAAGATGCCAAGACACTCAGAGCCTTGAAGAAAATCAGGCTAAAAAGTACATTTAGGCTGGGCGTGGTGGCTCACACCAGTCATCACATAACTCTGGAGGTGTGCAGGTCACTTGAGGCCGGGAGTTCAAGTTACTGGGCAATATGGCAAAATTCTGTCTCTACACAAAATACAAAAAAATTAGCCAGGCCAGGTGATATGCACCCATAGCCCCAGAGTTGCTTGGGAGGCTAATGTGGGAGAATTGCTTAGGCCTGGGAAGTCCAAGCTGCAGTTAAGCCGAGATTGCACCATGACACTCCAGCCTGGGAGACAGAGTGAGACTGTCTCCAATAAAACCCCCACAAAGTGTATTTTGTTCTAGGCATCCATAAAACTGTGTATTCATGAAAGGTGCAGAACAGAATGTTTCCAGCACTCATCATTGGGTGCAGGGCTTCAGATCACACTTTCTTCCTATTTTCCTACTGAGTACATGTATCTATTTTAGTAAGCATTTATTACATTTCTTCTACTTACCAAGTAGAAGGAAACATATTTACTTTTAGGGATTTATAGTGTGGAAAACAAAATCCCCAAATTCGAGGTACTCTGACAGTAAGGATGGTCGGCCTGTGCACAGCACAGGCTTCAGTACTCTTTCACACACATTCCCTCTCCACACAGCATCCCTGAGGCAGGTACTATTACACTCCAATTTTACAAATGAGTGCTATGAGAAACAGGTTCAGTGACTTGCCAAATGTCACCCAGCTAGAAAGCAGCAGATCTGGTCCCACCCCAGGGAGTCTGTGTCAGAGCCCATGCTTCTCACCACTAAGCTCTATGGTCCCCACCAATAACAGCCTATTCTAAAAAAACAAAACATCAAACTAAGTAGTTCCTACCTCCTCCCTGCTTTGCAATGATCTCTCCTCTCTTCAGTGCATTACTTAGGATTTCTAAGGAAATCAGGAAGAAAAAAAAATTAGCCAAATTTCTCTATGGCAACAGAAATGTGCTCATTACAGAAATACTACTAAAAATGAAAAGAAAAAGGGAAAGGGTTGAGAAACATACACACACAGACAAGATCATTGTACAGAGAACAAGCAAAGTCCTTGCTGCTGGTCACAATGCCAAGACCCCAGGTAGCTCCAGAGTCCAAGGCCGAGCGTGGGGGGGCACCTGAGAATGTGCCCGGCAGAGACAGGAGCCCCGTGTGCATCCATGAGCTGAGAGCCAGAGCAAGAAGGGAGCCGTCAGGTCTTGCTCAGCAGCAGTTTTCTAATTCTGGTCCAGATTCTCAGGACTGAGGTTTCCTTACCTCACCTGAGCTGGAAACTAAGCCCCCACCCCCACCCCAGCCAACTTGTTGTTCAGAAGACTGCCCAGCATCACCCACCTGAAGCCCACATTTGTCCACCCAGAGGCACCTCTTGTTATGACAGAGCAAATTAAAGCTCCAGCTCCATGGACAGCCTCAACGCTGAAAGTCCCCCATTACCTGACAAATGAGCTCTGCACGGAAATCCCCGAGCATGCCAGTCCTGCCTGAAATGAGCTTGGAGTGCTATGACTAAGCAATAGATAAGGTTGCAGAAAAATACATAAATGCGCCCCCTGCCAAGTGACCCAAACACAATGCTGCTGCTCCCTTGCCCATGGCTCACCCACATATCCTAAATGTTTGTCTGATGCTATCATAGCATTACCTTTCCAAGCTTCTGGTCAGTCTTTTGCTATGTAGAAGACACCTGTACCCACCTGCTCTGGTCTCAAAGTATATGCTCAGCAACTTGGACGCTGGCCACGAGGCACATTTCACTTTATGACTAAAGCCTATGATTATATTCTCCCATGGACACCCCTGACCTCGATCAATCTTTCAACCTGTCCCACAGCCATGCACGTGTGGTTCACGCCTGTAATCCCAGCACTCTGGGAGACTGAAGTGGTTGGATCACCTGAGGTCAGGAGTTCAAGACCAACTTGGCCAACATGGTAAAATCCCGTCTCTACTAATAATACACAAATTAGCTGGGTATGATCACAGGTGGGTGCCTGTGATCCCAGCTACTCATGAGGCTGAAGTGAGAAATATCGCTTGAACCCACAAGGTGGAGGCTGCAATGAGCGGAGACTGTGGCACTGCACTCCAGCCTGGGTGACAGAGACCCCATCTCCAAAAAAAAAAACCCCCCACACAAAAAAAAATCAACACAAGAAAATACCTGCCCCCCACACAGCTGCTTCTTATATCCCAACTACCCCAGGAAGAGGTGGGAAAGTTCACCAAGAGACACAGACTTCAGCCTACCAGCAGGTACAGCTCACTCCCAGGACGCCTGCAGTCCTGCCCAGCTTGCCTGAGCAGAGGCTGGCTTTCCAAAAATAGCACCTCAACCAAGCTTGTCCAACCCACTTTACTTTGCTGTTGTTCTGTTTTGGGCTTTTGGCAGCGAAGCCATGGTTTTTAGTTTCTGTCTCTAGTGATAAGTAGAAAAGAGGGATGAGAAAGGGGCTATACTAACCCAGAAACAAGCTAAGAACCTATGATTATATTCTCCCATGGACACCCCTGACCTCGATCAATCTTTCAACTAACACACCTGCAAGACACCTGCAAAAGCTTTCAACCAACAAGCCACTGATAGGAAGAGAATTGCCAGATTCTCCTATCGGCATTTACAGGCCTCTCTGTGCTGACCACAACTGAAGCCTGTTCTGACCATGCTTCCCCGCTGCCCCATGCAGACCCAGCCTCTGCGCCCAACGCTGCCAGCCGCTCTATCTGTGCACACCTGCTGCCTGTGCCAAACCCACTCAGTCTCCAGCCCCACAGCAGATATGGTGTTCTGAGCAACAGCATCTAGAACAGCAATTGGGAACCCATGTCTCCACCATCATTCTCATTAGGCCATTTGGATGCAAAGATCTCTGGCGCTGTTCCAAGTCACCCTTAGTATCGCCTCGGCTGCACCTCGTCCTTGAAGGTCAAAGACCACAGACCTATCCAAATTTCTGAAGCAGAAAGTATAGCTGTTTGCACAAAGAAGTGCAAAGATCTACTGTCTCGGCACGGGAAGGGACACTGCGTAGGAAGGCACTACAGAAAGGAGCACCACCAACTCTCATGGCAAGGACACAGGAAAGAGAGACCAAGAATTCAATCTTGGAAAAACCAATCCAACCACTCTGAGAATCTGACTACATCACTTTACTAATGTAGGTCTGATCACAAGCAGCAACAGGTAATTCCAGGATAAAGAGATCAGAAAGAAGGTGGAACTACAGCAGGAGAAGTGGCACCCTATAGACAATGTTTCTATTCCAGTCAGGTCAGGACAGTTTCCTACAACCACATGAAGTGACCTCACAGGCAAGAAGCCCACATCCACCTCTCAATGTGGTACTCATGTGCCACTGCAGGAAGCGGAATGAGACGAGAGGTGCCACATTATGGCAAGGAACTGAAGGTTCTGAGCAAGAAAAAGTACCTACGAGAGTAAAGTCACATGCTATTTATTCTTGCCACAGCTATTCTATCCACAAATCACTGTTTGCAGTCAAATGACAGTGTTTTAAAATATTTTTTTTTAAATACACCGCTAGGGCCTGGTGTGGTGGCTCACACTTGTAATCCCAGCACTTTGGGAGGCTGAGGCGGGCGGAACACAAAGTCAGGAGTTTGAGATCAGTCTGGCCAACATAATGAAACTCTGTCTCTACTAAAAATAAAAAAATTAGCCAGGTATGGTGGCAACACCTGTAACCCCAGCTACTCAGGAGGCTGAGGCAGGAGAACTGCTTGAAACCAGAAGGCAGAGGTTGCAGTGAAGCGAGAAGATCATGCCACTGCACTCAAGCTGAAGTGAAAGAACAAAATTCCGTCTCTCTCAAAACAACAACAACAACAACAACAATACACTGTTGGCCAGGCAACAGTAGCTGCTGCCTGTATACCCAGCACTTTGGGAGGCCAAGGCAAGAGCATCACTTGAGCCCAAAAATTTGAGACCAGCCTGGGCAACATACAGAGACCATGTCTCTACAAAAAGATCAAAACAGTAGCAGGGCATGGTGGCATGTGGCTGTGTTCCTAGCCACTGAGAGGCCGAGGTGGAAGGACTGCTTCAGCCCACTACATTGAGATCAAACCCACTACACTCCAGCCTGGATGACAGGGCAAGACCCTGTCTTAAAAGAAGAATCAACCAGGCGCAGTGGCTCACGCCTATAATCCCAACACTTTGAGAGGCCAAGGCGAGCACATTACCTGAGGTCAGGAGTTCAAGATCAGCCTGGCCAACATCGTGAAACCCCATCTCTACTAACAATATAAAAAATTAGCTGGGCATGGTGGCAGGTACCTGTAGTCCCAGCTACTCAGGAGGCTGAGGCAGGAGAATCACTTGAACCCAGGAGGCAGAGGTTGCAGTGAGCCAACCTGAGCAGCAGAGCAAGACTCCATCTCAAAAAAAAGAAAAACATGAGCTGAAGGATGAATCTGATGACCACCTTCCTAGGGCCTTCATAAATTCTAAGAATACAGCCAATATAAAACAAACATGAACAGACCTGGCGTGATGGCTCACACCTGTAATCCCAGTACTTCAGGAGGTAGAGGTGGGTGGAATGCTTGGGATTTCACCATCCTGGCCAAGATGGTGAAACCTTATCTCACTAAAAATACAAGAAAATTAGCCAGGCATGACGGCATGCACATGCAGTGGCATGATCATGCTTCACTGTAGCCTTGACCTCTTGGGCTCAAGCCATCCTCCCACCTCAGTCTCCCAAGCAGCTAGGAAAGGTGTGCAGCACCATGCCTAGCTAATTTTGTTTATTTTTTTGTAGAGATGAGGTCTTACTATGTTGTCCAGGCTGAACTCCTGGGCTGAAGTGATCCTCCTGCTTCAGCCTCCCAAAGTGTTGGGATAACAGGCAAAAGCCACCACAGCCGGCCTAAGAATGTCTTTTAAAACAAGGGTCCAGGCTGGGCGTGGTGGCTCACACCTATAATCTCAGCACTTTGGGAGGCTGAGGCAGGTGGATCACCTGAGGTCAGGAGTTCAAGACCAGCCTGGCCAACATGGTGAAACCCTGTCTTTTTTTTTTGAGACAGAGTCTTGTTCTGTTGCCAGGCGCCAGGCTGGAGTGCAGTGGTGCAATCTCAGCTCACTGCAACCTCCGCCTCCTGGTTCAAGCAATTCTCCTGCCTCAGTCTCCTGAGTAGCTGGGATTACAGGCACGCACCACCATGCCCAGCTAATTTTTGTATTTTTAGTAGAGACGAGGTTTCACCATGTTGGCCTGGATGGTCTCTATCTCCTGACCTTGTGGTCCGCCCACCTCGGCCTACCAAAGTGCTGGGATTACAGGTGTGAGCCACCGCGCCCGGCCGAAACCCTGTCTTTAAAAAAAACAAAAAACAAGGGTCCTAGCTTCTGCAGGGAAGGCCCACCACAGTGGTCACTTGTTTGAGAAGGCCTTTCGTGATTCTATTGCTGGCTACTTCTTTTCTTGTGCGTCCATCTCATGCAGGCTAAAATGGGAATCACACTTTTCTTGCTGCAAGGTCTATAAACAATCTCTCCCTCCCATGCTAAGAGGGCCTTGAAGAGTCTAGTTGTTATTAATCTCAGTCCTTAGAAATGTCAGATAAGACAGGTGCTATGTGATGAATGCCTTGTACTACACAGCTACAAAGAATATTTCTAACAAAGCGAGAGTCCCTATCTTTCAATGACATAAGCATCTCCAGTAGAGATGTGGCAGCAACTGCACATTATAATTAACAAGGACTGTGGCTGTCAATGGTGGGCTTAATATTCCTAGTATGAATTAACTCAAGTGACCTCAAGGTTTGGCATACTCCTCATGGTGCTATCTGCTGGAAAGCAGAGCCCAGGACCCTGGGGAAATGTGGGGAGGGTGGGCAGGTGTGTGAAACAGAACCCCACAGGCCCACAGCTGCATCTTTGTGGAGTTCTGCTGCTCTCCTTCCATCCTGCCACCTGCAAGAATGCAGCACCCCACTCCAGACACACATGCCACACGCTGGCATCAGCGTGTTGGCACGGGCCTCACAACTCATTTTGCTGGCTGTTGACAGGGCCCCAGAACTCAGGGAGCACTCTGCACTCCAATTTACACCCGCAAAGGGTAGCATTTTCACTGTCAAATACTGCCTCACACCAGTCAGTTTTTGACATTTAACAATCTTTTTTTTTTTACTTTAATCCCAAAGTGCTGGGATTACAGGTGTGAGCTACCAGGCCCAGCCAACATTTCACAATCTTTTGATTTAAAATTAAAAAAAAATATTTGAAGAGATTTATTCTGAGCCAATTATTGTGGGTAACCCCTCATATAGGCACCGAGGAAGGAGCACCAAGGAGAACCCTGGCACAATTAAGGCCTGAAGCATATCTCGGTTTATAGTGTTACCAACTCAGTTATTTTCTTTTATATAATCCTTTTTTTTCTTTCATTTTAGGTTTTGGGGTACAGGTGAAGAACATGCAGGACTGTTGCATAGGTACACACATGGCAGTGTGGTGTGCTGCCTTCCTCCCCATCACCTATATCTGGCATTTCTCCCCATGCTATCTCTCCCCAACTCCCCACCCCCCGATTTAAATTTTTATAGCCACTCTATCAAGATTTGACTCACGCTGAGTGATGGGCTCTGGGAGTCTGCCTGACCACCAGTCTAATGGCAGCACCCATGACCGTAATGGCTACACTCTGGTCATGAACATTTTATTAAACCCAAATGCCTGCTTCAATTCTTTTTCCACTGTGATTTACAGGTTCCTTGCAGTGCCCAAGGGCTCTAGAGGTCATCCCTCTACTCTGCTGTAGAGGGTGGAAGGAGCACTCCGAGTGGTGAATCTGAGAACATCTAAGAAAACAGTCTACGAACACACACTTCACTTGTGGTTCTCCACAGAGAATCGGCACTTGGAATCCTTTGCCACCTCCTACCCCAGGCTGTAAATCCTGACTGCCAGATTACACCTGCCAGTTTACCACTGACTTTGCCAGATGGCTCAGCACAGCTCCCAGGCCAACCCATCCTGGCTTCCATCTACTTATAACTGTACCACTCTGCTTTTCACAGCAACAACTCAAATTCCCTAATGACTAATTTGTTTTTAAAAAATAAGAGATGGGGTTTTGCCACGTTGCCTAGGCTGGTCTTGAACTCCTGAGCGCAAGTGATCCTCTCACCTTGGCCTCCCAACGTGTTGGGATTACAGGCCCAGACTAATCTGCTCTGAGTAACACTTTAGCAAGCCAGATTTTGGAAACTTTTCTTTTTAAAATTAAAATTCCATGCACACACAAGTTACAAGCTTGAATGTACACTGGAAATACAGACCTTTGTTGCTTTATTACTAATGATGACGACTTTCCTACACCCTTTTACCACCTTCTAGAACAAAGCATACATGAAGAGGTCAACAGACATCATGCCCCGCTGCTCCCTATGCACCAGAAGAAGGGCCTGATCATCAGAGACAGCTGCCTTTCAAGCCTGACAGTGATGTCTGTCCTTGTACCACTTTCACATCCTGTTATGAGAAACCCACAAAGAAAGGTTTACACCCAAATCCCTAATGACTTCCCATTCCAAGAAAGTTTCTGTGTATAAAAGCAGCTGCCTTCTTGCGGTGAAGGGGAAGGTCAAAGAGTAACCAGCACATAGAGGATTTCAAAAATGAAGATTTCAGACTTCTTATGCACACTCTACAGCCCCGCTGGTGCCCTGGGGCAAGTGCTGTGCTGGAGGCACTTGTAAAAGGCAAGATCCCCACATGATGAACAGCCAGAGCTGGAGCCAGACAGCCTAGGTTCATATCCAGGCACCACTGTTTACCAGTCAAGTGACCTTAGACAACTCACTCCCTATGACTCAGTTTCCATCGAAATGGGGATAACTACGTACATATCACGTGGCTCTCACAAGGTCTAAATGAAATATACTGTTATATTTCTGTTAAAATGCTGGGGGCGGGGGGGGGGGGGCGTGGAGCCAGGTGCGGTGGCTCACGCCTGCAATCCCTGCACTTTGGGAGGCTGAGGTGTGCCTATCACCTGAGGTCAGGAGTTCAACACCAGCCTGGCCAACATGGTGAAACTTCGTCTCTACTAAAAATACAAAAATTAGCCAGGCATGATGGCATACACCTGTAATCCCAGCTATGCACGAGGCTGAGGCAGGAGAATTGCTTGAACAGAGGTTGCAGTGAGCCAAGATCACACCACTGTACTCTATGCTGGACAACAGAGTAAAAGCCAATCTCAAAAAAAACACAAAACAAAAAAAAAAAACAAAGGTTGGTGGGGAGGGGCAGTAGAGGTTTTGAATTATACTAAACCAGAATTTGCATTATGAAACTGCTACATTAAATGAGGCTGTGTTTTTTATTAATGCTTCTGTGGACAATTTGCTGCTGGGACAGATGATAAAGAACTACCTATCCAGCACTCCTAGAGAGAGACAAACTTGATCAAACTTTAAAGAATCCCTCATACTCGGAGCCCATAACCATGAATATATACATGCTTTTTAACACTGTACTGGAAAATTATTGCAGAGCTTGGGAACATAGGACATCTCAAAAAACTAGTGACCAAGTGAAGTAAGTCTACTATTAGGTCTAGTTTTTTAAATATTTAGGGCAATTCAAAAGACGTTTGATTCGGTAGAAAAGTGGAAGTGATAGGCCAGGTGTGGTGGCTCACGCCTATAATCCCAGCACTTTGGGAGGCCGAGGCAGGTGGATCACCTGAGGTTGGGAGTTTGAGACCAGCCTGACTAACATGGAGAAATCCCGTCTCTATTAAAAAAAAAGAAAAGAAAAGTGGAAGTGATAATTCAGTGGGTCTGCAGCCTAAAAGTTACCTCAGAGCCAAGAGAAGGCAAAGAGTGGGTGAAAGCAGGAAGAAAACACGATTCTTACCATTTATCCTGCCCATGTTCATCCCAGATCCAAATCGACCCATGTTTTCCATACCACCACCAAAGGGCCCCTCCATTCCTGCAAGAGAAGTTCACATTTCACCATCATCCAACAAGACTGCTTAGACTGAGCAGGGAAAGAAAAATTCTGTCACGTTTCAACTGGGGTATCTTCTGCCAAGAACTTACCAAGTTTAAGGGTTTTTGAAAAACAAAAAAATGCTAGTGCCCTTCTTTAAAAATCACCATCTTCAAAAAGTAGTTCTGATCCAACCCCCTCAATGAATAGACAAGCAAAAAGAGGCACAGAGATGGAGTGGTTTGCCCAAGGTCACAGAGCTAGTTAGTGAGACAGCCAGAACCAAAAGCCAAGACACCTGCTGGAAGGATGGACAGGCAGGAGGAAGTCATTTCTAGACTCAAACTGAAACCAAAGGTAATTTCATGCAGGGCTTAAACAAGAAAGAAAAGAGGAAAGAGAGAAAACTATGCCTAAAAGTGATTATGTTTGTACTTCATTTTAAATTCTTACCTCCCATTTTATTTATTCCAAATCCTATGCCTTCCATTCCCATTCCTTAAAAAGAAAAAGTCAATGCAAACTAAAATTATGTCAAAGCAGTAAATAACGTTTGAATTTAAAAAGCATAATTCCAAACCAGCAAATGAACCCAAAAGAAAATCTCTGATGACAAGTATATTGTTATCAAGAAAAAGAGGCCCTATCATTTCAATTGTCAAATATATGGCTTAAAATTCTGATGGATTGTCTGGGTGTGGTGGCTCATGCCTATAATCCCAGCACTTTGGAGGCCGAGGCTGGTGGATCACGAGGAGTTCGAGACCAGTCTAGTCTGGCCAACATAGTGAAGCCCCATCTCTACTAAAAATACAAAACATTAGCCAGTATGATGGTGTGTGCCTGATATCCAGTTATTCAGGAGGCTGAGGCAGGACAATCGCGTGAACCCAGGAGGTGGAGGTTGCAGTGAGCCGAGATCACACCACTGCACTCCAGCCCTGGCGACAGTGGGAGACTTTGTCTCAAAAAACAAAAAAAAAAAAAACGAAAAAACACTGTCCGACTGGGGTCATTAAACTACGTAGCTCCCTCAGATTTTTTTTTTTTTTTTTTTGAGACAGGGTTTCCTTCTGCCACCTAGGTTGGAACACAGTGGCATGGTCACTGCTCATTGCAGCCTCAACCTCCCAGGCTCAAGTGATTCTCCTGCCTCAGCCTCCCAAGTAGCTGGGACTATAGGTGTACACCACCACACCTGGCTAATTTTTAAAAAATATTTTGTAGAGACAGGGTCTCACTATGTTGCCTAGACTAGTCTCAAACTCTTGGCATCCAAAAGCGCTGGGATTATAGGCATGAGCAACCACAACATGCCTCAAGTCAGGCGATATTAAACATGAAATAGAATTATAAAACACATTTTATGGAACATTACTTTTTAGAAAAATATTTTAAGGGAACAGAAGTAGGTAAGAAGTCCCTGTTAAAGGTAAAATCTTCAAAATATAAAACCAGTTCCTAAAAACACCAAGACTTCCTCCCCAACCCCCAGTCTTTCTATTTAGGTGTCAGACATGGGGACAGAGGGGGGCGTGTGTGTTAGGAGGGGGGGATTGGTAGGCCCAGGACTTTGAAGTCAGCACCGGGTGGCTCTGGAAAAGAGACTAGGGATATGCAATCCACACTGCATTTCAAAGGAGTCCGAGAAAGACCAAAGTCTGAGGCCATAAAAATGAAACATTCCTTAATAACAATACATCATTACACAGAAATGAAAATGCTCAACAGCAAAGCCTAAGTTTATTCTACATGTCAAAGCTTTCACACAGTAGCTACTCCTTGTCCTTTTACTATTTTTTTTTTTTTTTTAGACAGAGTCTTGCTCTTGTTGCCCAGGCTGTAGTGGTCGTGCAATCTCAGCTCACTGCAGCCTCCGCCTCCCGGATTCAAGTGATTCTCCTGCCTCCGCCTCCTGGGATTATGGGCCCACACCACCATGCCCAGCTAATTTTTGTATTTTTAGTAGAGACGGGTTTTCGCCATGTTGGCCAGGCTGGTCTCAAACTCCTGACCTCAGGTGATCCACCTACCTCAGCCTCCCAGAGTCCCATCTTTGTCTTTTTTTTTTTTTTTTTTGGAGACGGAGTTTCGCTTTTGTTACCCAGGCTGGAGTGTGCAATGGCGCGATCTTGGCTCATGGCAACCTCCGCCTCCTGGGTTCAGGCAATTCTCCTGCCTCAGCCTCCTGAGTAGCTGGGATTACAGGCATGCGCCACTATCCCTGGTTAATTTTTTTTTGTATTTTTAGTAGAGACGGGGTTTCACCATGTTGACCAGGATGGTCTTGATCTCTTGACCTCGTGATCCACCTGCCTTGGCCTCCCAAAGTGCTGGGATTACAGGCATGAGCCACTGCGCCCGGCCCCCATCTTTGTCTTCTTAAAGACAACATTGTCCACCATGTTTCCTGTGTCGGCCGTGTTGTCATGCAGTGAGGCCCTCTCTGCCTTTCTTTCATCTATCAATGCCCCTGGCTTTCTAGCAGCAGCTGTACCCACACCAGGAGGGCCTAAGGGGGTCCAGGTAAGAAACTTTTTAGGGCACTGCAGCAGTTCCACGGTCTGATGCTCAGGAGACCTGCAGCCTGTCACTAACTGACAGTGTGACCTTGAGCAAGAGCAACTCTCTGGCTTGCCTCCTCTTATCAAATGGCATGACTATCTCAGCTCAGAAGGTTGTGAGGTTACAATGAAAAAGCATAATGACTTTTAAAAAAAGGATTCAACGCAATAAAAATACAAAACATTGCCTTTATTCAAAATGAAGCAGAGATGAATGAGGAGGGATTTTTGGCCCAGTTAAACCTGTATTTCATTTAAATTACTCAAAGTCCAACTGCCCCAATAATTAACTTTAATAATTTTCACTTCCCCAAACCCCCAAGCAAGGTGCACTGTCATTCTTACCTGCGGGACCTATGTTTCCCATTCCAATGCCTTTATTCAGGTGATTGGCATCAATGGGTTGCCCTCCTGGTCCTAACCCCATGCCAATACCACCAAGGCCATCTGGAAGGAAAAGAAAAAGTGACTTAGTTTTCCCCTACTTAGCAAAACTTGACCCTCAAAGGAAAGGAGTCTTTGTTTATTGAGTTGCAGCTATCCACTCCAGCCTACCGCCCCCACCCACCAGCAACCCCAGGACCTAATGCAATATTTAACATCAGCACACTTGGAAACAAAACCTTGTTCTGGCGTTTGGGATGTGTATGTATATAACAAAGGCAACCTAAAACCAATGCATTTGAAAGTCAACATCCCCCATACCAAGATTCTTGAGCTCCTATTTGTTTCACTAACCCACGGACTGAGAACTGTCTGATCAAAAACAGTGACTCAAGACATCAGATGGCATGCAGCACAAGTGTGCCCAATCCCTAGTAGCCCAAAAAACGTTTCTCATGAAAAAGCAGTTTACAAACCATCCAATCAACATTCTGGGTATACACTACGCTCTGAATCTGGGTGGCTTTAGTAACAATGACGCTAATGTATTCAAGGAACCTATCTTCCTGTCCCCAAGCTTCCTAACCCACAACTGGGGACCCAGCCCACACTCAGCTCCATGCCCCACAAACACAAACAGGAGCATAGAAATACAGGCTAGTCTCTGGAAACAGCCAAAAAAGCTAACACTTGCAATATTTGGGGTAACCACCACCTAAGGCTTAAACCATAACCAGGTAAAGTTTTAAAAATGAATGAAGGCCAGATGTGGTGGCTGACACTTGTAATCCCAGCACTTTGGGAAGCCAAGGGATGGATCACCTGAGGTCAGGAGTTCAACACCAGACTGGCCAACATGGCAAAACCCCGTCTCTACTAGAATTACAAAAATTAGCTTGGCATGGTGGCACACACCTGTAATCCCAGCTACTAGGGAGGCTGACAAAAAAAATCCGTAGAACCCGGAAACGGAGGTTGCAGTGAACCAAGATTGCACCACTAAACTGCAGCCTGGGTCATAGAGTGAGACTCTCTCTCTCAAAAAAAAAAAAAAAAAAGAAGGGAACGGGCCAGGCGCAGTCACCTGTAATCCCAGCACTTCAGGAGGCTGAGGCAGGTGATCAGGGGTCAGGAGTTCAAGACTAACATGGAGAAATCCCGTCTCTACCAAAAATACAAAATTAGCCTGCCATGGTGGCGATGCTTATAATCCCCTACTACTCAGGAGGCTGAGATAGGAGAATTGCTTGAACCTGGGAGATGGAGGTTGCAGTGAGCCAAGATCGCACCATTGCACTCCAGCCCAGGCAACAAGAGTGAAACTCCATTTCAAACAAAACAAAACAAAACAAAATTCATTTAAAAAGTAAATAAAACCATCAGTCAGTTGAAAGGCCACACACAAAAAAAGTAAATAAAATCTGCTGCCAGTTGCCAGGCATTTAATCTGATTAATGTTCCATCTTTAATTGCATAGCAACGGCAGCAAGAGATCACCAAGGTTACTTACTCCCCAAAGCACTGAAGGCTTTGAAGTCAAGTCTCTGAAATGTGCTGGGAGACCAAGAGCCATGGATAACAGGCTCCCTGGGGTGTATGCTCCTCCTCCTGCTCCAGCTCAAGAGCCATCAAGAGCCATCGCCATGGTCCAAGGAGACCACTGCTCAAGTGAACACCCTGAGTATGTATTTAGGAAATGAGTACGTTAGATCAAGGACATGCAATCCTTCTCTAAGTAATGATGCCTTTCAACAGATAAGCCATCTCATGAAGCCACAGATCTGTTCTCAAGATACATCTGTCACGCTGCCTTAAAACTATGCTGCAAAGGTGCTCTGGCCTGGACTCCCATCCAACTAAGTAAGTGAGCAGCTGCTCCAGACCAGGCCTCCTCAACCCACCTGGTGGAGGGCCCACAGCACAGCACACACAGGCCTCTCACCCTCACCCATCTTCCTTCTCCAGGCTGGCCCTACCTGTGCCAGTGATTCCCTGAACCCTCCCACCACTGTCTGCACTTAGGTTCTGGCTTCCCGCCTCAGGCTTATCTAGGACTTTGCACTAATATGTGCCACTTCCTCCTTTGTGGTGGCCAATCAACTAGCCTTCCCTGTCCCAGACAGATTTTCACCTGGAGTCACACATAGCCGATCCCTTCTCCTTCTGCAGAGAAGTTATTTGTTTAAGACATTTTACATACCATAAAACTCACCCAAAGTATTCAGTAGTTTTTAGTATATTCAGAAATATGCAACCATCACTACCATTTAATTCCAGAATACTTTCATCAGCCAAAAGTGAAATCCAACCTTATTAGCAATCACTTCCCCACTTACTCCTTCCCAGCCACAGGCCACCACTAATCTACTTACTGCCTTTATGAATCTATATATGCTGAGCGTATCCTACAGATGAAATCAAGGTTCATCCACACCATGACATGTGTATTTCATCCAGCTGCGAACATCTATGGATGAATTTCTGTATGGATGTCTAGTGTGTACTGCTGGCCCACATGAGACTAATCAGTATCTTCTGAATTCAAGGGCAGTCTGGTTTTCATTCCTTTCGCAGGTTCTGATTCTTCCTTCCCCAGGACACTTTCAAAATGCCTAACTACATCCTCTACACCCTGGGGGTCACCACAAGGTAATCCTAACAATATCCTCAAGTTGTGAATCTCTGCTCATTTCTCACCCTGAAAAATCTATAGATAAGAACTGGCCAAAAGAACTGAGGACTGGCCGGGTGAGGTGGCTCAAGCCTGTAATCCCAGCACTTTGGGAGGCCAAGGCGGGTGGATCACAATGTCAAGAGATCGAGACCATCCTGGTCAACATGGTGAAACACCATCTCTACTAAAAATACAAAAAATTAGCTGGGCATGGTGGCGCGTGCCTGTAATCCCAGCTACTCGGGAGGCTGAGGCAGGAGAATTGCCTGAACCCAGGAGGTGGAGGTTGCGGTGAGCCGAGATCGTGCCATTGCACTCCAGCCTGGGTAACAAGAGCGAAACTCCGTCCGTCTCAAAAAAAAAAAAAAAAAAAAAAAAAAAAAGAACTGAGGGCTAACCTGGCAGAGATTCAAGTGAGTGAAACTCTATAGTCATTTTCTTTTTATTAGCATAACTCAAATTCAAACTCTCAGCCATAATCACTGAAACACTTACGGGGAAGTTGTTGTGGACGCTCAGGAGGGAAGAAATCTCCCTTTGGTAAGGCCCTCTCATCCTGGAAGAGAATGAAAATGAGTAAATCTTAGTATCCAGTGCAGCAGTGTTTGCAATAGCAAAAGACTGAAATGACCCCCCATCAACAGAGGACCAGTTGAACAAACTATCCCTGCCACGGAATCACATGCAAGGATGGAAAGGTATGTGGAGTGTGCCTGCTATTTTATGTCAAGGAGAAAGACCAAAGACACATGGATATTACTGTGGGGGATGATGGGAACCTGCACAAGAAGTCCAAGTAGGATTCTCACTATCTTTTCATGCTTTTTGACTTTTGAATCATGTGAATCTATTATCTATTCAAAAAACTTAACTGTTCTATTTAGAGTAATGAAAAATTGCTATATAGTTTCTTTTAACATTTTCGTCAACTTGAGTCCCAACTAGATTGCCCTCAGCATGTTCCGGTCAGGCCTGTAGTAACTATCATCTTTGGCACAGCCAGAGCAGAGCAAATGTGTATTACGACTGAAATGCTCCAACTGACCTTTAACAGATGCCTGAATCAATGCTTAATTATGTTCACAACAGATTTGATGCTAAACAAACATTACATTGTAATACTTTAAAAACTGGAACCCCATATAATAGTCATTCTTTGAAACGGATCACTTGCTCAACCAGGATACCCAGGTGACTTCCTGAGTGAGCCATGAACAGTCAACTGCGCAAAGGGAAAATTATCTAATGCAGACAAGAGCTGCGTGAGCAAAATGTTATTTCTCTCACAAATTTGCTCAATATACTGTTCCCTATTTAGATTAATCCATAAATATTTTACAGTGGTATGTGTAATTAATTCCATGTGTAATTAAACTCTTATTAATTCCATGTTTTTGCTGGACTTCAGTATATCACAGAGAAAGATCCTACTGACTTACCATCTTGACATGCATTGGTCTATCAAACAGCAGCTGGCCATTGAACATAGCTGGTAGTACAATTAAGGCTCTTTCTTGCAATTCTAAAAATGTGCACAAAAGAAATACAAAGAAGAAAAGAGAAAATACTCCCTAACTGCTACCAGTCTCTCTAAGTGATCAATTTATGAGCAATTTCCATTCTTCATTGTGCTTTCAACAATAAACATAAAAGGAACAATAAATAAAGCTGTGGGTGGGGGGAACGACAAGATAACTTCCACTTATTCCTTAGGTGTGAAGCTTCATTCATAACTTTAAACTTTTCACCAAACCATCCTCTTAAGCAGTGGCATCAAGATTCTCTGAATGTGGCCAACAGGCCAGGTGTCTACCACCATCTAAACTGAAGGACCATGTTTTCTGGGTAAAACATGCAGTGGCAGTCTTGCCTGAGTTGCATGAATGTGCTCATTTGGGGTACTCTCCATGGGATTAAAAACTCTCGGGTAAGCCTAGGGTCAAGGACAAGTGGCCTCCTCCAAAATGATGTTTACTCACTGGACAGAGTGAGGTCCTGCAAGGATCAATTATATAGGAAACAACAGTCCAGTTTCTCTCTAGTGGTGCATTCTTTGGGCTCCCTCCTTCAAACCTAGACTTTTCTGAAAACAAAACTATCCAAACTGTACTGAATCAACTTCACCCCCAGAGAACTTTTTTTTTTTTTTTAGACTGAGTCTCGCTCTGTCACCCAGGCTGGAGTGTAGTGGCATGATCTCAGCTCACTGCAACCTCTGCCTCCCGGGTTCAAGCAATCTCGTGCCTCAGCCTTCAGAATAACTGGAATTACAGGCACCCACCACCGTGTCTGGCTCATTTTTGTATTTTTAGTAGAGGTAATGGTTTCACCATGTTAGCCAGGCTGATCTTGAACTCCTGACCTCAAGTGATCCGCCCATCTCAGCCTCCTCAAGTGCTGGGATTACAGGTGTAAGCCACTATGCCCAGTCCAGCCCAGAGAACCTTTTAATTCCACAGTAATGCATTCCCTCTAGTCACATAAAAAGCATTAATACACAGTCACATCTTCCTCACACAAACCTACATTACTAAAACAGCAATTTAGGTCAAATTGTTCACAAGCTCAATTCCTACTTGTGAAGCAAAGGATACATATAGCTTGCACGGCTTCAATGGACTGTTCAAAAGTAACAGTGCCTATTCCACGACTTTTTCCATCTTTATCCTCAAGAATGTCTGCTCGGACCACCACACCAGCCATACTAAATACTTCCTTTAGTTTCTTCCAGCCAACTTTATAATCCAGCTAATCAAGAGAGAACGGGGTAAAAACCTCAATGTAAATATCTTAAGAAACACAACATTTTAACTACGTGAATGAGACATGCTATAGCTGGAAAAAAAGTATTAGAAAATAATGTCACAAAAACTAAGCAACTGCAACAAAATTTTAAAAATAGGATTTTAAAGCCTGACATTCACTATAAATAAACTGTACTTATAGTAAATATACTGTCTCTCAGAAGCTTAAGTTACCTCATACTTTAAATTAATACTCATTTTCTGAATTTTTTTTTGAGATGGGAGTCATTCTCTGCCACCTAGGCTGTACAGTGGCGTGATCTCATCTCACTGCAACATTCGCCTCCCAGGTTCAAGTGGTTCTCCTGCCTCACCCTTCTCTTAGTAGTTGGGATTACAGGAGCCCACCACCACACCTAGCTAATTTTTGTGTTTTTAGTAGAGACGGGGTTTCACCATGTTGATCAGGCTGGTCTTGAACTCCTGACCTTAAGATCTGCCCACCTCAGCCTCCCGAAGTGCTGGGATTACAGGTGTGTGCCACCGCGCCCGGCCCATTTTCTAAACATTTAAAAAAATTGTTTCCCTGATAAGCTTTACCATACCCTACCCTACCCAACCTACTTTCTTCTAAAAATATTTCTCCTTGCAGATGGCAGAGGTATTATCATTCACCCCCGGACATAAGAGGAAGGTGTCAGTGCACTGTCTCTGCTCATACACTCTTACTCTGCACCAAAACTGCACAAAATAAACCAATAGAGAATGCAGACTCAAGTTACTGCTTATGGAAACACCTGCAAAACTCAGGGATCATAGCTCCAATGAGACCATGGTCAAGCTTGTGACTTAGGAATGCAGACAAAGCCCACACCTAAGGCTGATTTTTAAAAAAATGAAGAACACAACCCTTATTTACATTTTTCTTCTCAAATGTTAGAATTACTTTTATAACATATTGACAAGGTCATTTCATAAAGTTCGGATTTTCCACTTTAGACGATGGCTGTTTACTTACGTTTGCTACAAATACTGTGCTTCCAAGTCTTCCAGCCTGCAATGCATGGATAATCTCATTTGGGATGTTGGGATTATTTAGGATACTGGGTGGGATAGTAATCATTCCTGGGCCACCTGGTCCCATACCCATCCCACCAGTCGTAGCCATCACCTTTTGCATTGCTCTCCTGGCATGTTCACCATCAGGATCCTAAAACAAGCACAAAATGTGTTACGCTTAACTGACCCAGAAACAACAAAAACCACACTTGCACAGTAACTGATATTCTCAAGACTTAGAAACGGAAAGGTTGTTTGAAAAGCATCTCTCAAATCTATTAACAAGAAAGTCCAATGAACTCAACTACAGCCTAGAAGAGACCAGCTAAAGGAACAGGAAAGGAAGAAAAGACATGAAATGTGGCACTAAAAACACAGCTCTCAACTAAATTAAGTAAAAAAGAAAACGGGGACAAGGAGGGAAACATGATTAGCTGATATAATGTAGAACTGCCAGACTGAAACTAGAGCTTCATGGGCTTGGTATAGCTGAATCTTACTAATTCATCAGGGGGGTTTTGTGATTTCTGCAAACCCGATCAATGACTTTTCCAAAAGTTTGAAAAAAAAAAAAAAAAAAACAATTTTAGATCACACAAGTACCCCGCCCCCCAATCCTTCAAGTCCTTCAGGTGTTTGAAGTCATGTATATAAGGTCTGGACAATATACAACATCTGGACAGGTCTGTGAAGCTCTGGTATTGACTCTCTTCTCGAACTCTCTGTCCTGTCATTTACCACCATCAGCACTAAAAAAGACATCATGAACACATGAGTGATCTTAGACCCTACCAAGCTTTGCTCTAAATCTACTCATCTTCCTCCCCAAGAAAAGGTGAAAAGAAGTCAAGAGGGTTTTCTTTTTTTTTTTTGAGATGGAGTTTCACTCTTGTTGCCCAGGGTGGAGTGCAATGGCGCGTTCTCAGCTCACTGCAACCTCTGCCTCCCGGGTTCAAGCGATTCTCCGGCCTCAGCCTCCTGAGTAGCTGGGATTACAGGAACTGGCCACCATGCCCAGCTAATTTTTTGTATTAGTAGAGATGGAATTTTACTAGGTTGGTCAGGCTGGTCTCAAACTCGTGAGCTCCAGTGATTCACCTGCGTTGGCCTCCCAAAGTGCTGTGATTACAGGCGTGAGCCACTGCACCCGGTCAAGAGGGATTTAATCAACAAAAAAAACCCCATCTTCCTCAAGGAAGATATCTGATTCAAATCAAATGTGAAAGCAGGTTTGAAGAATAACGAACTCACTTTATTATTTTTTTTTTTTAGACAGGGTCTCACTCTGTCATCTAGGCTGGAGTGCAAGGGCAGTCTCAGCTCATTGCAACCCCAACATCCCCGACTCAAACGATCTTCCTGCCTCAGCCTCCCAAGTAGGTAGGACTACAGGCAGGTACCACCATGCCTTGCTAATTTTTGTATCTTTTGTAGAGATGGGGTTTCCCCATGTTACCCATGCTGGAAAAAACTCACTTAAAAAAAGAGAAAAAAGATGGGCCAAGAAGAAGGTTCGGACAGAGTAAAAATGGCACAAACCCACAGGCTCACAGTTTGAGAGTCCCTGAGACAACAATGCCGCAGACAAATCACAGATGTTAGAAGGCGGTCACCACCCCAAAGTCCTTGCAGGGAGTGGCTGCTGTAGACTGTGACTGACACGCTTCATTAAAAACAACAGGTTGGCACTTGCTTTGTTAAATGCCATCTAGGACCATGACAGTCTTTCCCTAATTCCAAAGAGGGATCACTCAACAATTACACACAGGATCCGCAGTGTTAAGCCAGAGCTTACTTCTTTGACTTTCAGTGGTCTTCCACTCAGACTATGCTTGTTTAGGACTTCCGCAGCTTTTTTCATGCTCTCTTCCATCTTGAATTCAACAACACTATAAAAAGTCAAAAGAAAACAAATAGACTGAATCCGGTCCTACAAGTTAGAAAGTTCAAATACCAGTAAGTAACTAGATGATACTTACGCGCATCCCTTTGGAGAAAGCCAGAGACCAGTCAGAAGAGCAAGGAAGGGGAAAAAGAAAAGAAAACAATAGTAAATACCAGTGACAGTTATAAACAAACTAAAAATACGATTAATGTCACAAAGTTAGTCTTTTAAAATGAACCGTTTTAAGGGGAAGCTGACAGAAGTGCCTCGCCTCGCCTTCCTTGTAAAAAGCTGGGCTCCTTAGTATTTCCCTCTCCTACGCGTTACCAGCATTGCGCTAGAGCTGCTGACGTTGTAATAAGCAGACCTAAATTCAGGGTCTCCAAGAAATCACACCAACTTTAGATCTGCTTCCCTCTGTACTCAATCGAGTCCTTACCATATTCCTCCTAAATTCATCCCTTTCATAAGTTAAGCTCATCCTTTTGATTATTCTAAGCCATTCTATTGCACGACAGAAAATAGTTTATGTTCTCTTTAAACTACGCCAATTTTGAACATTCAAGTTTTTAACATTTGATTTACAATTTACTGGCACAAAGGCAACTTTTCGGAATCTTTGGTTCACACAACTTTCAAATTCAGCAAACAACCAAGAGTAACATTTTCTAGACAAGAACACACGTTTTACATTAATTATACCACCGCTAAAATTCCATGCATAATTCACACACAGCCAATTCCTCTGTTAACAAAGAGACAATGCTGCTATTGGTCCCCAGTTATCCAAATTGGGCATCCAAACAGAATACCAAAAAGCTCTTTGGCCAGCCATTTGGAAAAGCGGGACTCCCATTTGCAAATCCCCTCCCACCCCACTCGAATGTTTGGCAAAATCAAACATAGCTACTGTAACATGAGCACTCACTGCCTTCCTGATTTCATTCGATTCCACGCCACCATACAGTTACATTTTTCATGTAGTAAATCCACAGAAGAAATTCTCTCAGACACTTACCCTTGACTTTCCTTCAGCGTCCATTAAGAGCTCCACGTATGTTACCTCACCAACTACAAATCAGTTTCCAGACGACACATAAACCAAGGGAGAAAAGCCAAGAAAACAATGGGAATTTAGAACAATCATCAGCAACCTTGTATGGAGCCTCTGCCTTATAAGAAAGCCCAGAAACACTCCATATTCTCTAAACCACCAAACTAGGCATTACAGGTGTGCAGTAAAAGTAGGTGAAAACACGTTAACAATATGTCCTTGATTTTCCTCCCACCACAAACAAGCTATTCCACAGATTTCCATATCAATTTCCCTGTCTGGAAAACTCATTCATGACTAGAGGCAATCCAAATCTATAGGAAAGAAGTCTGCGTGATTTACTTTTTTGGGGAAGGGAGGAAAACAGTTTTACACATACAGTCTCATTGGTGGCAAGTAGGTGAAATGCATACAAATTACGATGCCATCGTGCTGAGATCACATGGTATAAATACAAGGACGCATGTATGCAAAGGTATAAGCTCACAGGCACACATGGCCGCAGGGCCAGCTTCACAGGTGAGCAACCTGTGCAGTCGTCCAGAGCCCGGCACTCGGGGGCCTCAGCTTGGTTTAATGCTGTTAATGCTGCCATGACATTCTTAATCTTTTAACAAGAGGCCCCTTGTTTTGGTTTTGTGTTGGGCCCCACAAATTCTATAGCTGGTCCTGCACACAGCACTAGGCTCCACAGCTGTAGAGGCAGAATGTTTGAATATAGTTAAGATCACAAAACCAGAGCAGCATCTGGATTCTCTTCAGTGAATTAGGTCAGGCTTCATTCTTGCTGCTTTCTAAACCTCCCCATTAAAGGACACAAATTCAAATTCAGGACTCAGATTTTTTTATCTAAAGTGTTAAACAGATTCACATGATTCTAATCTACACAAAAGGGAAAAAAAAACCAAAGCATTTGAAAAGTTTCTGCAGCTTTTCCTCAAGGTTTGGATTGCCAATTCATGACCACCATGACCAGATGTTAGAATCCATCAAGACAACCACCAAAATGGCTGCTGAACTTGAAGATGGCACACACAAAACAAATGTCAAGTGTTAACCTGGAGAAAACAATCTCTAACCAGACTCCAAAGTCAAATCATGGGCTTTTGTTGTTTTCTGGATCAGTTTGGTTTAGCAGAAAAAGGGTAAAAATAACCCACCTAATGACCTTGACAAGTCCTGCCTATTCCAACTCTTTTGTTCAAAGGACATTAAAATTATGAGGCTACAAGAAGGAAAAATTTTAAGGAAAGACAAGATACAATAAATCTGAAGGACGTATTAATGGCTCTGCACATTGGTTGAGGGCAAGAAAGCCAAGTGTTTACATCTAGAGCCTCACCTTCTTTGTCCTCTCCTGAAATGTTTCAGAACCAAACTGGCACTTTGCACAAAACAGGAAGGAGAAAGAATCATTAGTGCAAAGAAAAGAAGAATGAAAATAGGAAGGCTTGGTTTAACTTTTGGAGTATGTACTCCTGTGGGGTAAACTGAAAAATGACTGCAGCCAAGGGACAGTTGTACAGAGCGACTTTACTTAACTTTTAAAAAGTTAAGCAGTTCAAAAAATGCAGCAGCCCTGAGACCACGTTAAAGTAGTTAAAAGCCATTTGTTTCAAGAGCAGCAGCCATTCAAGGACCACCAACCCTTGTCTCCACTTTGATGAAAATGCCACAGTGTCAAAACAGTGAATGAAAAGGCCCCAAGTTTATTTCCTACCAGCTATGACTACCACCTAATAACCTTTAAAAAAATAAAAGACTCATAACTAATTCAAGACAGCTGCAACCATGTTGTCCAAATTCAAATCCTGTTGCATTTGAAGTTTGTAGTCTGCGTCCATAAAGACACATGATCAAAAAGCTGTAATTGCAACCTAGAAACCAAGCAAGTCCAAACCAAACTTTTTTTCCATGGCCATAACCACTTTAACAAAAAGAAAGGTTTAGAAATTAGGACTTTTTCCATGTAACAGTCTAGTCTAGTAATGGCACACCTGACTTCAATCCTTTGTACTAAAAATTTGCTTAAAACCTTCTCCATCTTTTTCCCCTAAATGGTATCATTGTTTAGCAGTCACCCGAGGGTCCAGCATGAGTAATGCTGTCCCCGAGATCATCAGTAATGACCACGAACCTCACAAACTCATAAAATTCCAACCTCTATCCTGACAGACCATCAATTCAGTGTTAAGGGATCTGTAATAGCTGCTAATTCATAGTTTCCTATAGGAAGATGAAGCCTTTAAAAGACCACCTCCCTTTTGGTTCTACAATAAACGAAGCAAATATTTGTTTCATATAAGTCAGCACAACTATTGACAAGAATGTGAGGGCAAAATCTGACAAGTAACCGCAGTCTGGTCACATTCCACGAAGTTTAATGAACAAACCATCCAAAGCAGATCACACAGTCAGGACTCAGGGGCAGAGGTGACAGCTTGGCAGTAGCAGCAGTCTTACAGAAACGGCACTCACAGATATTAATAAAAAATATGGTTGCTCCTCTCCCTGTGTAAACATGAATGGAATTCATGGAATCCCAAGAGTAGGCTGCTAAGACAAATTCTACTGCGCTTAAAAATCAAAATATCGAAATGAAAAAACTAAGACATTAATAAAATCTAACACCAAATGTTACCTTCTATTTAAAATGCTCTAAGACATCATTTTTGACCAACATTTAAGTTGGTTTAAAAAGATTGCCTTATTCTTAAAACACATCAGGAGGATAAGATGAGCAAACAAAAAAATAACTCAGGTGGTCCCTTGGAGCTACTGTGATCTCACTCTCCCTGCACATTTATCAAAATGAGTATTTGTTTTTGTGTCCCCGTTTACTGCCTAAGTCTGAAATGGGGGGGAAAAACAAAAAGAATACAGGGGCTGAAGCTTCACTGAAGAGAATTCATATGTGATAAAGCTCAGAATTTTTTTTCACAGGGGTGGGGAGGCTTGAAAGTCAGGCATGTTGTCAACATTCTTCGTCTCATAATGGTCTATTCTCAGGTAGCCACTCTACTGGGGTAGGGGGATGCAGAGAACACATGCACACTCTTTAATATAAAGACATCTTGAAACATGGCAAAATAATTATTCTACACACTTGGCTTACGGACAGGTTAGGAAATGACTGAGCCCACACTCCTCCTTAATTGCATGGCAATGGCAGAACGGTATTGCTTCCCTAACACCAAAGACCACATAGTAAACCAGACAGGCTGCACTGCTGGGGCTCAACTAACTATTCACAAATATGAACACTTTAGCATAACAGGCCCTTCTAAAATGCAGGCCGTGGTCAGGCGTGGTGGCTCATGCCTGTAATCCTAGCACTTTGGGAGACCAAGGAGAGTGGATCACCTGAGGTCAGGAGTTCCAGACCAGCCTGGCTAACATGCAGAAACTCCGTCTCTACTAAACATACAAAAACTAGCTAGGCATGGTGGTGGGCACCTATAATGCCAGCTCTTTGGGAAGCTGAGGCAGGTGAATTGCTTGAACCCTGGAGGCGGAGGTTGCAGTGAGTCGAGATCACGCCACTTCATTCTAGCCTAGGTAAAAGATTGAGACTCCAAAAAAAATAAAATAAAATGAAATGCAGGCTGCAATTCCAACCAAGGAAAATATGGAGGAACATGAATAGACTGGGCAGGAATTTAATTTAAATTGAAAATACATTTCTGCCACAATGCAAACTATCTCCGGGATCCAAGATGGGAGGCTTTCTACTGGACTACACTTGCCCTCTGGGCCTTAGTTTTCTGTCCGCTGCAATTTGAAATTTACTTAAAGTGGAGCATTAAATACTAACAGAAAGATTAAGTGCTTAAAGAAATCTTTGCTTACACAAGTTAAACTGCTGCTAAACTTGGGATTGACTAAGGGTAAACTACATCCCCAAACTTCCTTTCTTCCTCAACCCAGCCTCTGTTTACTCACTGTGGGTGCAGCTCAGTTCTGCTCCGGTGGCGCTGACCCATCTGGGTGCTGCTGGCTGCCTGGTGAGGCCAGGAGAAGCAGCCCAGCAAGGAGCTTCTTCTACCCACACAGGACTTGATGGTCTCAAACAAAATGTAGCACAACACTAAGTTTAAAAGCCTAAGATCGCCTTTTGCTCACAGAAATCTTTATATTTTCTACCCAGTCCTTATTATGATCAATAACTTTAAGATGTGTAACCCTTTACCTGACAGGATACAAACTGTGGACATGTGGACTGTTAAGTCACTTTTAACGGGGTGAATAACCAGTTCACTTCCTATGTGGATTATCAACTGGAGATTCTAGACGCTGCTAAATGTCAAAATTAGAGCTGGAGAATATGTAGCTGGTATGAAAGATGGGGGAAGAGGATCAAGAGGTGAGGGAGGGGCATGTGAGACAATCTCCCCCAGGAGTATCCTTAGGAAGAAACCTCCCCTCTTGCCCTCTCAAAGCTAGCTACTCTAGTTCTGAGAAGCTACAATTAGATAGTGCTACAATGACAGAAAATTTCAACAACTGTAGTTCTTGTTCTACTCATTTCCTGAAACAAGGCTAAGATTCATCAGACCTTAAAACGCAGTGATAGAGTGCTTAGATTATGATAGCCCAAATCTCTGTGATTTGGAATTATTTTGAGACTAATACTTGTAGGGTTGTGAGTGCCTCAATCTGCTAGTTCTTCCTGTGTATTAAGTCTTCAAAAAACTTAAAACTTATTGGCAACAGATTTCAAATAAATATTTCAGATTTAAAATAACTACTTAAACATTTTTTGTATGCCAAAACAGGAATAAAAAATGTACTCTTAAAAACATAATAAAAAGAGTATTTCTTAAGGAGTCATATGTAAATATAGTAAATTTCTTTAGACTTCACATACTGAATATAAGCATTACCATAAAAAGATTACCTTTCTTATGAGTCACTTTACCCACAATCCTATACTGCTAATAATTTAAACAGCAAAGTAATTAATTTAGTCAGTACAGGGGAGCTCTAAACAAGAACATTTTAAGGCTCATTAAAAATAACTGATTTACTGCACACCTGTAATTCTGAATTACACCACCAAAAATACACTGAGAGGGCTGAGCCCAGGCATTCATAGCAGTATGCCAGGGGAATATGAGAACCAGTTTGGAAGTATCCGAATCAACCACCAGGCTGGCTCCACACTTAAAGGTGCAAAATAGTGAATTAAGGTGAACTGCTTCTACATCCAGAAACACCATGGCTGCTGCTGCTACCAGCTTTAAGGTTTCCCAAACCGAATTACTGAATGGTAAAGCAGTAAAAATGTCACCTACTTTATCCATCATGTCCCAAAACTGGTTCACACACTCCTAAAAATGAAAAAATAATTTGGCCTGCAATCTCTTACAAAATTCTAACAATTGCATTTTCAAAGCCACATTCCTGGTTCTTGGAACTACTATACCTTATTATCAATGGAAATAACAATTCAGCAGTTCAACCAAATCATGAGAACACAAATTTGGAGGTTATTCCAAAAGCTAATTCGAATGAGGCCCAACCGTACTGTACAGAAATTCTAAGCTTATATTGAAGCAGCAGTCCCAAAAACCAAGAACACTGCATCTGGGATGCAGCATGACACGCCCTTCAGACAAAAAGAAGAAACTTCACTCTTGCCCTAGGAGCATTGGCAGGAATGATTTGGCTGATCAAGGCAAGAACATCAATCACACACCAAAACGTTTTCCATCTGTGTTATCTGGAGAAATACCACGTGGGAGCAGCACGCGTTACTGTACGGAGAGTTTCACAGTGCCTAGTGCTTCTTGCATGTCATGGTCAAAATAAGTGATGGGACAACGATGGCAGTGCCATTCATAATTTCCAAACCCAATGCAGGGAGCACCAGTACACATACAGAATGGCCTATCCATGGGGCATCTCTGTCACTGAAATGTTAAATCATTTGACAAATCAAGCTCACATCTCTTTTCATAATGAATTCTCCAGAAAACCAATACCTTTCAGTCATGCAAAGACTCCCTGAAGGGTAGTATGAGTCTAGGTCAGGGTGGGTGGGCGGGGGTGCCTCAAGGCAATATACAAATTGTTCTCTACCACAGTGTTGTCTAAACCAGGGTTAAGCAGCCTCTTTAGTCCTAAATGCCACCAGCAGGACCAAGAAATCAGGAAATAAAGGAAGACAACAGCAGCACAGGAGGGAAAGAGGAGAGAGAAAGAGGACACTGCAGTGTGCACGGGGGTGAGGACCAGAGGCAGGCCTCCTGGTGGTAGCAGAGCTCAGTTGCTTCCCCTGCCTCCCCGCTGGGAAGTGTCACCTAGGCTATGACAATGCACATCCTAAGGCACCGCATTACAAAGCAGATACCTTATTTTGAGCTCTACTCTATTTTTTCCCCAGAGGGGAAAAAGCCTAACAGTTAAAATAGAAGATAATGTTTTATAGTTTGGAATCTGAGAAGGGTAAGGTCCAGCTACCAAATTTTGATCCCAGGAAGACACCCACAAAATTTTAAACAAGCTATCTTCCTGTGAAACTTAAAAAGCTTAAAAAAGAAGAAAAAAGAAAGAAAAAGAAAAACCTCTCTCACCTAACGTGCAAAATTCAAAAAATTTCAACAGAAAAAGGATCCCCGGAAGCCTAATTCAAGCCCTATTAACCATACTAAGCCAGTAAAATCATCTGTAGGCAAAAGGACCATACAAACCATCCAGTTTGACACACAGGGGCATAACCACAAAAAGAAAACAAAAAACAAAAAACTGGGGTGAGGTAAGGGGGCTTCACTCTTAAGCCTGGAAAGAACATGCTCTACCCAGAGCCACTTCCACTGACCAAAAATAACCAAGGAATCAGCCACAGAAAAGATGACACGCCAACCTTCTTACCCTATTCAACCACCAGTACCATTACCTTTTTCTTTAACCAGGTCTTTAAGTGACTGCCACTTCACATCAAAAGGTATGTTTGTAATGAAGGCTCTGTATCTTTTAGTTGGATTGGTATATGGCTCAAAGCGATTGCCTCCTCTTTTAATGTTTTTCTCCTTCCTCTTCTCATTCTGAGCAGGTCGTTCTCCTTCACTAAATTCAAGAGAGAGGAAAAAAAGGTAAAGAGTTTATATGTCGGCAGAATATGAAAGATAATTATTCATTTGCCAGGTTTACAATTCCACACAAAGTTACATATGACACAAGACTACTACTTGTCAGATGCGGTGGTTCAGACCTGTAACCCTAGCACTTTGGGAAGCCAAAAAGGGGGGACTGTTTGAGGCCAGGAGTTCAAGACTAGTCCAGGCAACACAGCAATACCCTGTCTCTACAAAAACAAAATAAAATAATACTTAGCCAGGTGTGGTGGCGCACTTGTAGTCCCAGCTAGCAGGGAGGGTGAGGTGGGAGGATCACTTAAACTCAGGAGTTCAAGGCTGCAGTGAACTATGATCACCCTACTGCACTCCAGCCCGGGGTGACAAAGGGAGACCATCTCAAAAAAAGCAAAGACAAGAGTAATGTTGGTTTTGAAATTAAGACACTCAAACTAAAGTGCATCACAGGGCAGAAAGTCTTCCCAAGGAAAAGTACACTTTCCTGTGCTTACAAATGCTCCTATGGACAGTAACAGAGACAATGGGAGGCCAACTCCCAACCAAGGTGTGTTAATTCCAAGATAGAAACAGGAAAAGAGAAAGATGATTTCCAAGACTTCATGGAATAGAAATGAGGTAGTGCATATAGGTCCCACCAATTTTAGCTTGACGAATAAGTGTCTTTCACAGTGTTAATAAAAAAAAAGGGGGGGGAAAGGAGCCATAAAATGATTGCAGCCGCCATGGGAAACAGGTGGTCACTCAAAATTAACACAGAATTACTATATGACCCAAAAAATCCACTGCTAGGTATATATACCCAAAAGAATTAGAAGCCGAGACTCATACATGTATGCCAATGCTCATAGAAGCATTATTCATACAAACTTAAAGGAAGAAACCACCCAAGTGTCCCCTGATATATGAATGGAATAAATGAAACATGGAATATCCATGCAATGGGATATTATTCAGCACAAAAAGGAAGGAAATCCTGACACAGGCTACAACATGCACAAACCTTGAGGACACTATGCTCAGTGAAATAAGCCCATCACTGGAGGCCAAATATCATATAATTCCACTTATGAAATACCTATAATAAGCAAATCCATACACAGAAAGAAGAGAGGTTACCAGGACCTAGGGGGAGGTAGAAATGGGAAGTTATTGAACACTGAGCACAGAATTTCATTTGGGATGAGAATAAAATTCTAGGAATGGGCAGAGGTGATTGTTGCAAACACCATACTTCACTGTACACTTAAGGTTTAAAATGGTCTATTTTATGTATATTTTAACCACTTTTCAAAAATCCAAAAAGGTGGCAAAGAAACTATTCCTATACAACCATACTACTTAGAAGCTGGGCAACTCAAGTCTGAGCAACCCTGAAAGGTGGAAGACAGCAAGCAAACAATCCCACCTTTGGCAAAGAAGGGTGGCTGCTTTTCCAGCATGGCCTTCACAGTCATACTCTACCTTTGTGTATTAGGTGCCACCACACTGTGATACCAGCTATCTTTAGGCAGCAGCCATCAGGCTTGGAAGCCCGTGCACTGGCTGACGGGGCTCTTCCCTCAGCTGCCAGCTCAAGTGCACCCCTCTGACTACAGGAAGGTACGGTTGAGAGCTGACTAGGAATAAGTGAGGAGCCAGAAGCTGCCCCAAGTCTCTCAAGCAACTGAGCCTTGTACTTTCTGCTTCCTGAGCCCTGTGTCCCGCCAGTGAGAATCCAGTGTCTCCCAGACCACAGGCTCTACCACAGAGTTTGTGATCCATGACAAAACTGGGGAGAAAAAAGCCAAGACTACGGTATTCATGATTTATAAAAGTATCTTTAACTAAATGACTAATTTTTACTCCGGGATGTAACTTTCTTTTGTAAAAGAAGGTAATGCCTACATACCAGATAGTAGCTGGAGGAGTTTTTAAAAATGTGTTTATTTGAGGCTGGGCACAGTGGCTCCCACCTATAATCACAGCACTTTGGGAGGCCAAGGAGGGCAGATCACTTAAGATCAGGAGTTCAGGACCAGCCTGGCCAACATGGTAAAACCCCATCTCTACTAAAAATGCAAAAATTAGCTAGGGATGGTGGCACCTGCCTGTAATCCCAGCTACTCAGGAGGCTGAGGCAGAAGAACTGCTTGAACCCAGGGGACGGAGGCTACAGTGAACAGAAATTGTGCCATAGTACTCTGGCTGGGTACCAGAATGAGACTCTGTCTCAAAAAAAAAAAAAAAAAAAAGTATTTACTTGAGGCCAGGTGTGGTGGCTCACACCTATTATCTCAGCATTCTGGGAGGCCGAGGCTGGTGGATCACGAGGTCAGGAGTCAAGGTGGTAGAATCACTTGGGCCTAGGAGTTTGACACATTAAGACCCTGTTTTTATTTTAAAAAATGATAATAATTAGCTGAGTGTGGTGCTATGCACCTGTAATGGGAGGATGGCTCAAGTCCAGGAGTTCAAGGTTGCAGTGAGCTATGATTGCACCACTGCACTCCAGCCTGGTAGACAGAGCCATGTTTCAAAAATAAATAACAATGTATTTACTTGGAAAAATTTTAAAGTCATTAACTTTTTGTAGCCCCCAAACACAAGAGTGCCAAGTGGTATCCCAGGAAGGGTATCACTGGTGTGAGCTACACCCAACTCAACACAAGGTAATAAAACCAAGGAAAGGCTGGGTATGGTGGCTGAAGTCTGTAATCCCAGCATTTTGGAAGGCCGAGGCAGGCGAATCACGAGGTCAGGGGTTCGAGATTAGCCTGGCCAACACGGTGAAACCCCAATTCTACTAAAAACACAAAAAATTAGCCAGGTGTGGTGGTGCATGCCTATAATCTTAGCTACTCGGGAGGCTGAGGCAGAAGAATCTCTTGAACCTGGGAGGCGGAGGTTGCGGTGAGCCAAGATTGCGTCATTGCACTCCAACCTGGGCAACAAGAGTGAAACTCCGTCTCAAAAAATAAAAAATAGGGCCGGGCGTGGTGGCTCATGCCTGTAATCCCAGCACTTTGGGAGGCCAAGGCGGGTGGATCACGAGGTCAAGAGATCGAGTCCAACCTGGCCAACACGGTGAAACCCTGTCTCTACTAAAAATACAAAAAATTAGCTGGGCATGGTGGTACGTGCCTGTAGTCCCAGCTACTCAGGAGGCTGAGGGAGGAGAATTGCCTGAACCCAGGAGGCAGAGGTTGCGGTGAGCCAAGATCTCGCCATTGCACTCCAGCCCGGGGTAACAAGAGCGAAACTCTGTCTCAAAAAAAATAATAATAATAATAATAAAATAAAATAAAAAATAAAACCAAGGAAAGCAGCTTCCTCTGTGATCTCAACTATACCAATACTCATCAATATGCTTTCTTTACCCCACGGGCTGACTGATAAGGTGATGTTATGGCCACTCCAATCCCTAGATGCCTAAAACGTAATCTACCTGAGTCCACAAGACTGGTTTCACACCACAAAGCAGATTCCGCAAGAGACTCAGACTGTTACCCAGGCCACTTGTCTACTCCAAAAGAAAGTCTTTTACCAAAGTCCACCAAACAGAATACATCTCCCAATGCATCTCCTACTCTTTCCTGGAAAATGATGATGAAAGTGTTAGAAAAACTCACAAAATGTAACACAATCTACACATCATGGTCCTCTACAGGATTCACATATGGAAATGAATTTTAACATTGTTACTTTGAAGTCTTTTTTTTTTTTTTTTTTTTTTGAGACGGAGTTTCGCTCTTGTTACCCCGGCTGGAGTGCAATGGCGAGATCTTGGCTCACCGCAACCTCTGCCTCCTGGGTTCAGGCAATTCTCCTCCCTCAGCCTCCTGAGTAGCTGGGATTACAGGCACACGCCACCATGCCCAGCTAATTTTTTGTATTTTTAGTAGAGACTCGATCTCTTGACCTCGTGATCCACCCGCCTCAGCTTCCCAAAGTGCTGGGATTACAGGCTTGAGCCACCGCACCCGGCCCAAAGTCTCAAATACTTTAAGATTTACAATAAAAAACATTCTGGGCCAGGCGCAGTGGCTCATACCTATAACACAGCACTTTGGAAGGCCAACGTGTGTGGATCACGAGGTCAGGAGTATGAGACCAGCCTGGCCAACATGGTAAAAACCCATCTCCACAAAAATATAAAAAATTAGTGGGGCATGGTGGTGCATGCCTACTGTCCCAGCTACTCAGGGGACTAAGGCAGGGGAATCACTTGAACCCAGGAGGCGGAGGTTGCAGTGAGCCACGATTGTGCCACTGCACCCCAGCCTGGAGACAGAGCAAGACTCCATCTCAAAAAAAAAAAAACCTGACAGAGTCCATGATGAATATTTCCAGTCTGTTTTCACAGACTGCTTAGGCTTACCTATAAGCTACAAAAAGTATAAATAACTAATTACAGCCAAAGCAGGTAACAAAGTAGCTAATCTATAGTCCACAGGTGCATACTATGACTACAAATAACTACCCAATCTAACCACATAAGCTGAGCATTTGGTTTGGGGTTAATCCACATCACATGACTCACCACCGAGAAAGCAGCTCTCATCATGCTTAATGGGCACAGCACCTCTGCGAACAAACCCTTCTCTGGCTAATCATTTCCTCTGAGAGGTTTCCTCGTAAAAGAGGTTAGAACTACCTCCTGTCATTTCCAGCTTTTAAAAAATTGACCTTTTTGGAAATCTACCATCACCAACTCAATTCTTGACAGGCTTATAGAAAACAACCCTCAAAAAGAAGTATCATTCAAGACTCATATTCAAGCAGACTAGCCATGGTGGCTCATGCCTGTAGTCCCAGTAGTTTGGGAGGCTGAGGTGAGTTGAGTGCTTGAGTCTAGGAGTCTGAGACCAGCCTGGGTAACAACATGGCAAAACCGTGTCTCTATGGGAAAAAAAGAAAATACAGAAAATTAGCCAGGCACCACTGTGGTCTCAGCTATGCAGGAGGAAGACAGTCTGGCCCCAGGTCAAGGGT